GGCCTTGGGCACTCAAAGGGATCCAGGGGCAGCCACAGCTTCTCTGGGCACCCTGTGCCAGGGCCTGCCCACCCTCCCAGGGAACAATTCCTGCCCAATATCCCATCTGGCCCTGCCCTCTGGCACTCGGAAGCCATTCCCTGGCTCCTGTCCCTCTGCCCAAACTCATGGCTGAGCTGCTCTCACCTGGTCCATGAATGATCGATTTCCCAATAAATTCTGTTCCCATTCAGATCCCTCCTGCTGTTCCTTCCCCTCTCACTCCCCTGACCCCCCTGACTCCCTTTACCCCCTCTCTGTTTCCACCCTTTCCCCAGTTGAGGAACACAAAATYCCGGCCTCCAACCTCCTGCTTCCCATTTTTCCCTCATTCCTCCCCACGAGGTCCCACTCAGCAGAGGTAGGAGCTGCTGCTGGCTGTGTCCTCATGGGAAGGCTGGGACAGGRCAGAATTATCTCACTGATAGTGGGGACAAAGTCACCTGGAAATCTCAGCTTTGATGTGCAGAGGAAGCCAAAGGACCTCACTGTGCCCACGGGGAGTTTTCCAGCGGCAGGGAATGGAGTTTGCGGCTCCCATTTTCACACCAGGACAGGGATGGACTGGCAGGGCASTAAGGATCCTTCCAAGCCTCCCTTTTATGAGTCTCTGGGAACACATGGGGTGAGGTCGGGGACTCCTGGCATCGAGGTGGCACTTTRGTCACAGTAACCAGTGACTTCCAGGGATGTTCTGGAATTCCCTTGCTTACAGAATCCCAGGATGGGGGAGGTTGGGAGGGACCACAGCAGGATCACCTGATGCCACCTCTGAGATCATCCCAGAGCCCAGGGCATTATGGACATTCTGGAATATCCCCAGGGAGGAGACTCCAGCCCCTCTCTTGTCCCTGCCCAGGGCAGTTGTGCCTCCTGTGCAGGGGGAGCTCCCTGGGCTCAGTCCCTGCCCGTCCCTCGGGTGCCATCGCTGGGTCCCCCCCGGAGCAGAGCCCGGGCCCTGCTCGGAGCCCTCCCTGCACCCAGGGACAGCCAGGGACACACAGGGACACACAGGGACAGCCAGGGACAGCCAGGGACACCCAGGGACACCTGGGGACACACAGGGACACCCAGGGATAGCCAGAGACACCCAGGGACACCCAGGGACATACAGGGACAGCCAGGGACAGCCAGGGACAACCAGGGATAGCCAGTGACACCCAGAGACACACAGTGACAGCCAGGGACACCTGGGGACAGCCAGGGACAGCTGGGAATACGTGGGGACACCCAGAGACACCCAGGGCCACCCAGGGCCACCTGGGGACAGCCAGGAACACCCAGTGACACTCAGGGATACCCGGGGACACCCGGGGACAGCCAGGGACAGCCAGGGACAGCCAGGGACACACAGGCCTGAGGGCCCCTCTGGCTGGGCTCCTCTGGAGGCTGAGCAGCCCCGGCTCCCTCGGCTTTCCCCGGGCATTCCAAGAGCCAAAGTGCTCCAATCCATGCTGGGGGTGCTCAGAACCCTGCGCACTGTGACGATGGATTGGTCACACACAGATAAATGAACACCTCGGAAATGGGGAAAATCCAGAAAAATGAGTGCGAGGCATCAGAATTAGCGAGGAAAACTGGGGAAAATTCCTCCTTCAGGGAGAAAGCCAGCCAAGAAATCCTGCATTAGTGCAGCTTGTTAAATCAGCGACCTGTTGTGTCTGATCTTGCAAGGCTGGGAGCAGCTTTCCCACTTCCCTGGGCTCCCTTRGGCTTGTTAGCACAGGTCCTACCATTCCCTTTCCAAGGAATCTTAATGCACGAGTTTCTGCCTCATTTTACTGGGTAAATTCTCTGAAAAGAGAGTTCTGCAGGTAAGGCATCTCTGGCCCCAGC